TCCTGATTTATTTTTTTTTTGATCCGTAACCCCTAGTTTTTCCTCAAGCTTTGTTGCATACCTACTGCGTTATGTTTTTTTGATCCTGATTTTATTTTTTGTTGGTCTTTGTGATTTAATTTTTGTGATCCTGATTTAATTTTTTTTTGATCCCTCACCCAAAATAACGCTCAGTGCCCCTCCGAGAGTCATCTTTTGCGTTGGGACCGCCTCGTGGTTGGGGCTCACGAAACCTCGGCGAAGCTTCCCAGACCCCTCGGAAGGATCTAGAAAGTCGAGCCCTTAATGGGGCTTCCCGTGAGGGTTCCTTTAAGAGATCTATAGGGATGTTGGGCTTTTGTCGGTTCAGGAGCTATAAAGTAGAACCCCTAGTTTGGGACCCTATCCTACTAAGGGCTCTTTTTAGGAACCCCCATTTAAGGCATCTACCTTTTTGGATCCTCCCGGTCTGGGTTGCAGTCCCACTGTAGTTCCTTTCCTGGGAAAACCAGTTGTATTTCTATAGGAGTCGAAAATTCTGAAGGGGAACCGAGCAATGGAGACGATATGTAATATACACTGCACCCAGAGTCCTTTAGAATAAGGGCTTTGAAACGGCCTTCATAAGGCAGCTGTAGGCTCCCTGTCCTTTACTAATGCATCAAGGTTCTTCACGCTGAACTAAGGGGCATTGCATTTTCCGAGTGATATGATTTCTCCCCTGGCTCCGGCCAGAAGTACTGGTGCTACGGTACTCCCCATCGCAGTACGGCTTGCCGTGGCAGGGACCATAGCATACATCTTTCGCGGACGTGCTCAAGACAAGGCGCCTTTTTCCCTCACATACCCTCACTGGCTCGTTCGTTCTGCCTCGTTCGTCATGCTTTTCGACAACATGCCCCTGAGAATCCTGACAAATTGATCCACGGCCATGGACACAAAAAGCCCTGGCCCTATCTATCTGCTGCTCTCGTTTAGTACAACCTCTCAACTTTGCCCGGAGGCCATCGGCATCGATGGTGGCGGCATTCCCCACAATGTGCAGCCCATAGAGGTGATGATTGTCACGCAGGCCCTGCGCAATGACCTCGCCAGTTTCACAGCACTTCGGGCACTTGGAGGATCATGGGACTTAGTAACTGCGGTTATGAAGAAGATATACTTACTTGCAACCCCATTTAAAGTGCTGTCAGAATGCCATACTTACTAAGTCCTAAGATCCTCGAAGTAATACAGGAGCCTATAGAATTACTAATACTATTTTGGGGGTGCCTTATTATGATTTTTGTATAATATACCCCAAAACCACTATTCCAATAAATAAAGCCCCCAAACCCCAAACCCTTATAGAACTCGAAAAAGGAACCCTTCAAGGGGGCCCCAAAAGCACCCTATTCAAATAATCAAGGCCCTTTCAAGTTCCCGGTTGAATGCTTCTTCCCAGAGACTCGAAAACCCTTTGATTAAGGAAATATACCTTAAACTATAATAGGAACCCTAGTAAGATTTATAAGGTATATTCCGTAATTGAGGGATATGCCTTAAATCTTACTAGAGTTCCTATTGCAGTTTAAGGTATATTCCTTAATTAAAGGGTTTTCGAGTCTCTGGGTTCTTCCAAGGAACCCCGTAAAGGAGCCCCAAAAAAGAACCCTATTCTAACAACTAAGGCCCCTCCAAATCCCCTAATTTGGGACCCTAACTACTAAGGGCTCTTTCCAGGAACCCCCATTATGGCATCTACCTTTTTGGATCCTACCCGGAGGTCTGGGTTGGGGCTCCCGGTTGAAGGCTTCGTTCAAGCGCCTGAACTCACAAGGTCCTTATTGGAGGAATATACCTTAAAGCTTACTAGGGTTCCTATTGTAGTTTGGCGGAGGGGTTTTTTTTTTCGGAGG